AAATAAAAATTACAGCCTTACTTATAACATTTATTAGCTTAATTAGTTGACGTCAATTTATGTGAGTAAAGCGTATAATTATTATTTATTATTTGTTTTAATTAAGAGTGTTAAGAATTAAAATGGCTAGTCCTTCCCTTAAAGACCTAATTAAAAACGTGGAGGCCTTAAAACAAAACTCACATCGTTTAGTAATTTTTTGAATCTTATAAAAGGTACTGTTGTCTTGTCTGAGCTACAAAAATCGGAACTGGAATGCCGGCTTAGAAAAATTAATGCGGTATACGACCAATTTGACGCGTTACAGATGGAGATTGAGGCATTGTCGGAGCAGGTTGAGGACGAATACAACGAACGCCTCCAATACGAAGAACAATATTATTCACTCCATGCTTTGGCTCGTAGTATGATGGATGCTGCTACATCAACGTCTTCTAGGGCAGGTTCCGAGACAGGCGACCATGAAGGCAGCTGTGCACCAAAATTCCATCTACCTGTCATCAACGTGCCGCAGTTCATCGGTGACTTTCAGGAATGGTTGGGATTTCGAGATACGTATCTTTCAATTATCCATAATAATAACGTACATAAATTTCACTACTTACGCGCATCTTTGAAAGGTACTGCGTCGTTAATTATTCAAAGTTTAGACGTAACGGCAAACAATTATCCGATTGCATGGCAATTATTAACAGAGCATTATGATAACATACGTCTTTTAATCAACAATCATATACAAGCCTTATTAAGTACAAAAAATATATCCTATGAAAGTAGTTTAGAAATAAGAAATCTTATTGATGTGATGAATAAAAATGTAACTCACCAAGTTTACAGCAATTCAGTAAAGTTTTAAACAATAGGTGTGATGTATTGGATACATTGAATGCTGGAGTAACTAGTCCTATTATACATAACGTCAAACACTCAAAACTTCAATCACACCCTTTAACTTATAACAATAATAATTATAACAGTTCATTTAGAAAAAAAAAAAGAGTTAGTAAAAAGTGACAAGAAAAATTATAATAAAAACGTTACATGTCCTATGTGTTCACAAAATCAATTCTTATTTTAAAAATCAAGATGACCTTATGTCTATATTATTACGATTTCGTCAACATAAATACGCTATTACTGGAGATGTAGAAAAAATGTATAGATCTAATTTATTGCACTTTTTTATTTTATTGCATTGTTTTTGGACCCACCATTTGTATATCGTTGAAGCTCTTACCTGATGCCGTGGAAGCGGATGCATCAAATACAACGCGTAATTTTGTTGTTGTACTCGACTCTCGTATAATACCGTGGTATGGTAAGTAATAATTATATTTATTTGTGATATGTGAATTAGATAAGTTTTGGGTCATGTGACCTAGATTAATATATTCTCTAATAAATTCGTGATAATTTTGCTTGTATTGAGAGTCTCGTTCAAACTTACGCTCAAGTGACCCAAGCATATGAATCACCCAGACAATCTGGTGAGGTCTTCAACGGTATCGTTACTTCAAATTGACCAGATGAAGTGCGATACGTAGTGTTATTAAATATTTCTTCGCAAGCTTTTTCTTCCTGAGAATATGAATTTTGAGATAAAATTGAGTCTAACTCCCAAAATTTTGCAAGAGTAAATTCTTCATTACAATTCAATGTATGATGACATACATTACGAGTTTGAACGTCGTTACTATACATCCAGATCCAGAAGTTTTGAGGAATGTAATTTTGAATATGTCGGACCAATGTTGTAGTTTTCTGCATTTAAGACTATCCAAAATATTTCTGCACGCACTAAAATATCAATAGAAGATGCTAGGTTGAATTTAGGGTCGGCTAATTTTATTTCTGGTATATTCTCTAATTGGTATATTCTCAATGTCTACGTACGAATTGGGTTGGGTGTGTGAAATATTTGGAAGGATGTAACAAGTAATATTTGCTTTATAATCGTTAAAGTATGACTCAAAAGTTAGTTTGCATATTTGAGTGGCTCGTATGACTTGGTTATTAATTGTAGAAATAGTGGAATCAGTGTTATATCTTACCAAACTAACACATATATTCCGTAATAAAATTACAAGTGCTTCCATTATCAAGCAGAAGTCTGGCCGTGTGAAGCTTTCCGTCTTTGTTTTTACACGTACCAACGCTGTAGATAATATGACGTAAGCAATGTTAGAAGATGAATTAATATTTGTCGAAAGTGCTACATTTGAAGAAGATGGCTCTTTATTGAAATTATCTTTATGCAAAAGAGTATTATGCCTAGAATTAGAATACTTGCAATTTGATAATCTACAGTGGTTATGGATATGACCTGGACGTATGCAATTTGTACATACTCTACTTTCGGTGGCTTTTTTATACGAGAATCTACATCAAGGTAATGAATGAAGGGCATGTAAATAAGAAATGATTTTGTGAACACATAGGACATGTAATTTTTTTATTATATCTTTCTTGTCTCTTTTTACTAACTCTTTTTTGCTAAATGAACTATTATAATTATTATTGTTATAAGTTAAAGAGTACTAAACTACTTTCATAGGATATATTTTTTGTACTTAATAAGGCTTGTATATGATTGTTGATTAAAAGACGTATGTTATCATAACGCTCTGTTAATAATTGCCATGCAATGGGATAATTATTTGCCGTTATGTCTAAACTTTAAATAATTAACGACGCAGTACCTTTCAAAGATGCACGTAAGTAGTGAAATTTATGTACGACTTTGATGTTATTATTATTATGGATAATTGAAAGATACGTATCTCGAAATTCCAACCATTCCTAAAAGTCACCGATGAACTGCGGCACGTTGATAACAGGTAGATGAAATTTTGGTGCACAGCTGACTTCATGGTCGCCTGTCTCGGAACCTGCCCAAGACGTTGATGTAGCAGCATCCATCATACTACGAGCCAAAGCATGGAGTGAATAATATTGTTCTTCGTATTGGAGGCGTTCGTTGTATTCGTCCTCAACCTGCTCCGACAATGCCTCAATCTCCATCTGTAACGCATCAAATTGGTCGTATACCGCATCAATTTTTCTAAGCCGGCATTCCAGTTCCGATTTTTGTAGCTCAGACAAGACAACAGTACCTTTTATAAGATTCAAGAAATTACTAAACGATGTGAGTTTTGTTTTAAGGCCTCCACGTTTTTTAATAAGGTCTTTAAGGAAAGGACTAACCATTTTAATTCTTAACACTCTTAATTAAAACAAAATAATAATTATACGCTTTACTCACATAAATTGACGTCAACTAATTAAGCTAATAAATGTTATAAGTAAGGCTGTAATTTTTATTTTATTTTATAAGTGGGTACCTGTAAAAAGAACGAACACCAAATGAATATGCAATATGTATAAATGTAATGAAATATTAAGCTTATTATGAGCTTATCTATAGAAAAATGTTATAGGAAGAATAATTTTACGATTATGGTTGAAAAGTAGATGAAAAGTTTTTATGATCAATAATAATATATTATGTCTAAAAATAATTTTACGAAAAATGCAGTAGAAATATGACACAATTCTGAATTCTTTGATACTTGGATAATATATAAGTATGAGAAAGGAATTGGAACGACCTCACTCAGTGTTGTTTTCCATTTTGGGTCTTTAAGTCTCCCATAAAAATCTAGTCTCCTATATCCGCATTCTTTTAATTCGGAAGTATTTTCAAGTACACATAATGGCTGCCACAATGACGCTTACGCATATTACGCTTCTGGTTCGTTTTTCATCGAAGGACTACTTGTTGTTGAAAAATATAGGCGTAGACTGTATTACTTATAGATTTATTCGATTCCATTTAATATAATATGTAGAAATTAGGATGTCGATACAAATAGATAATAAGTAGAAAGTACGGAAAGAGTTCGTTTTACGTCGGTGTTCAACACTGTGTGTCGCCACCGGAGCTCACGCGGATCTCTCGAGCGGTCAAAAGGACGTTCAACGCATAAGACGTCTTAAATGCGCAGGCACAGGCACGGTGCGAGGTCTTCCTACGTTCGTAACAAGACGTCGCGAACACTCGTATTGAAGAATTTGAGCGAAACCAGGGCTCCAAAGTCTTTGCCAGAGATCTGTCTAACAGAAAGAGCTAACTGTCAAAGCTAAAGGTCGTTTCCGGGACACCTGGGATTTAGAGTAAGATTGAGAAATTATATAGGCAGGTGTACACATCATCGTTGGGCCATACGCAAGTGTGAGTAACGATCTAAGAGAAAGTCTTATCCGACACTATTCCGATGATATTCCGTAACTTAGTCTGAGCAAGAATAGAATGACTCTCCAGCACCTTAAAAAAGGCAAGGCCCCAGGCGAGGATGGAGTTACAGCGGAGCTTCTGAAAGCGAGTTGAAAACCGGTTATTAAAATCCTTCAGAAGCTCTTTAATTCCATCCTCCATGATGGAACTACACCGTAGACGTGGAGCTGAACTGCGGATATATCTTGTTCTTTAGAAAAGGCGACAACGCTCCCTTTAAGAATTTCAGACTGATTACCTGCTGAGCTGAGCCTACGTGCTGTATTCGAGAGTCATTACGAATCGTCACACATGCAGACTCGACGACTTCTAGCCTCCAGACAGTACCATACCACATATATACCTTGCGGTAGATTTTACAGAAAACCGAAGAGCAAAATCTGCCACTTTTCCTGGCATATGTGGACTTTTAAAAGTAAAAAAAAATATTTGAAGCAATATAATCACCATATTGAGCTTTTGCAAATTCATCCCTTTAAAATAAACAAAACGCGCTTTACGCCAGTTCGTGCTAAAAGAAACATGACAATGGCAGTCAGAGATGCGTCGCCTTTTTTTTTGCCGGTCCGCCATTTTATTTGGATATCGCTTGCGTGTGTACGTCTCGGGTAATTCATATAGCATCTGTTAAATTTGTTAAATCGTTAAGTTTTTGTTGCTGAATCTGTTATATTAGTTTTACTGTGACGGTGGTTACTAAATTGACATGAGTTTAGGAGAACCTGGTGAAGGACCCGGTCCTTCAACGTCAAGTGGAAAGAGACGTCGCCGACCTATAATAAACGTAGCAGGTATGTACAAATAGGTAAAAATGCGACGATGTAGCCTTTCTATTTCTTAAAGCGATCTTTTTATGTGATCATGTGACCATTTATTTTCTAAAACAATATTCATTTATAATGATTTCTTATATTTACGCGAACATTGCACATGATTAAAACTACTTTTACGGATTTTATCGCGTTTATTTTTACTTTTTATTTTAATTCCCGACGTTTCGGACGCTTTCCAGCACCCATGGCCCCCCGTGACCATGGGTGCTGGAAAGCGTCCGAAACGTCGGGAATTAAAATAAAAAGTAAAAATAAACGCGATAAAATCCGTAAAAGTAGTAATATTCATTTATGTTGTGTAATACATACTATAGTAGTATATTTTTGTCATTTATTCACAGGCCCATCTTCTGGGGAAACTTTAACGTCACCAGTAAAAAAGAGAAAACCTACCACTTTGTCGGTCGTGGAACAAGAGATTACCATTAATGTATACACTTATGTCAAAAACACCTGGCCCGAAGACGTGTATCCTTCAAACGTTAAAATGGTAGAAAAGGTTTCGGAGATCTCAGGAGTCAGCAAGAGCACTATATATCGCGTCTTAAGCGTGTATAGAGATTCCGACAAAATACCAGAAAAGGGAATAATTAATAAAATAAAGAAGTCTGTAATTGATCAGTTGGACGATTTTCATAAATCGGCTATAAGAGTGAAAGTGCATCATTTCATTATTGCAGGAGAATTACCGACTTTCGACAAAATTTTGCTCAGTATAAATCAAGATGACCAGTCTGAGAAAAACTTCCCTGTGACCTGTGTTGCCATTTAAAATTCAAATATATAAAGAGAAACAGAAAAAGTGGTCTAATAGATCGTCCAGTGATAGTTCTGTGACGTGCCAGATATTAGGGAGAAATACAAATATTAAGAAACGAGAACGTAACATTTTTTACCTTGACGAAACACGGATTAACGCAGGTCTTATTATGGGAAAGAAAGACACCACAATTGAATCTTCTCGTCAAGCATGGTTGAAAGGCTACTCTACTGGCACGCAAGTCCCTTTGGGTAAAGGAAAGCGATTAATAGTTGTACACTTGACAATGGCTTTTTGGAGGGATGTAATTATGTATTTGAATCATCATCTACTGGTGAATACCATGAAAGTATGGACGCTCTCCATTTCGAGGACTAGTTTAGAAAAATAATTCAAAAACTGCAAAGCGGCGAGATCATAATTATGGATAACGCTAGTTACCACTCCAGACGTTTAGATAAAACCCCAAGAATGTGTCTTGACGGAAACAACATATGCAGTAATGTCTAGAATCCAAACAGATAGCATACTTGCCTTCGGACAGAAAGACCCCCTTAATGGAAAAAATAAAGACAATTAAAGATAACTATCGAAGTTATATCAGCGATGAGATGGCAAAAGAGACAGGCATCACAGTGGTAAGGTTACCTCCTTATCACTGCGAGCTTAACCCCATTGAACTTGTGCGGGCAGATGTGGAATGTGTGCATTGCACGAAAAAATACAACTTTCAAGATTACAGATGTTAAAAATGTATACTTAAAGATGATTTAACTCAAATCACGCCAAATAAATTGAAAAACTGTGTTCAGCATGTCTTGGTTAAAAAAAAATGCGTGGCGTGGATGATAGAATGGACCAAACTGCAGATCACTTTGTAATTAATGTTACAGATAGTTCATCTTAATACGCTTCAAGTGAAGATACGAGTGATGATTGCACTGAATAAAAATAAAGTTCTTATATAATATTGAAAATAAAGTTTTATCTTTTGAATAAGTACGTACTTTTTCGGTGTCGTTATCACTCGAATCTTTATATGTGTTATAAATTAATGCTTTTTGTTGTTAAATGAATAAAACACTTTATAACAATAGATGATTTTTCTTCTACAGCGATCTTTTATATAACTTTTTAATAATAGTTAATAAATATATATTATATCAATCAATATAAAAATATATAAAAATAATTATAAATAAAGAAAGTACTACATATAAAATGTGCCTATATATTGAAGGTTTGACCCCTAGTTAAACGACCGGGAGGACATTGCATCTTTCTCAATCGATTTGGCACATACTATAGTAGGTTAGGCCACTGATAATATTTTTTTAAATGAACGTAAATATAACTTAGAGTAATTACCATGTTTTTATCCAAAAGAAAAAAATATTAACAGGTAAAATATCGAATTATTTGTATGAAGGTCAAGTGAGCGCTAGAAAAACGACGACTGCAAGACGTTGTCGATACATAAAATATTTTGAGAAATTATCCATTACCGTGTTGTGGCGGTGAATGAATATCCATATCATCCCGTGGATGTCGTAAGAGGTGACTATACTTGGTGGAAAGTGTTATTTTTAAATAACCGTGACCATCGTTCCAGTTACAAAAAATTCACAGTGATCTATCTTCGTCAGTTTGTCACGTTGGATAACTACATGGAACATTGGAAGGACTTAACGTGACTTTAAATTTCGATTTAATATTAGGTTTTATTTCAGTAGTCGATATTTATTACCTTCCTCACCTAAGTTACGAACGTGACCATCTTATAAATGCCATTATAATTATTTATTAGTCGTTGTACGATTCCAGTACACCATACCACACCTTATTACACAGTGACAAGGTACGTGTAAGATAATGATAATAGGTAACTCTAATAAGTAAATAAAAAATCAATGATACTTTATTACGCTATCTTTGACCAATACTACTTTAATAGAAAACAACTTCGACATAATTTTCACGATATATCGGAATTATAACACAAAACGTAATTTTCGCACATTGGACGGCACAGTATTTGAAATGCAAAGAAGAATGGCAGGCTTGTATGGGAGTTTCGTACCGCTAATTAAATTTCGTGTTTGGGGTATTTTTGGTTTTAAATTCTTAGATTTTTAGAATTTGGGAGATAAAAGTTATACCCAGTTTTAATTTTTAAGATTCTATACAGACATTCTATACAGATAAGATCTACATAGACCATAGACTAATATATAATATTATGAACTAGTGTTACAATTTTTTTTTTATTTAACTGGCTTTTCGGCTTTGGGTTCTAGAACATCTGAGCCTATCATTTCTTTCGTAATCTTCGTTTTTGTATATTTTTTTCATCACAATATGCTGATGCGTCACTATTTGCGTTACAGTTTTTGGGAGATTATATCAACATCAAACCACTTGTTTCGTCGTTTTCTCTAATAGTGCACACGCGCAGACAATTCACAAAATCGCATCACTTTTATGAATCAAAATCTACTTCAAATCATTATTCAAGCAACAAAACAGGAGCGACAAATTGTTCAACAATCCGTCGATTTCCAAAACCTCTCCTAGTGTACCTATTGTGACGGCCCAATATTATTATTAATAAATAAATTCCATATGAAGGGGCATCAAAAATAGTCTTAAATATATATATATATATATATATATATATATATATATATATATATATATATATATATATATATATATATTGTTGCATGAATAAGTCAACTAGCGCCATCTAGTGTCAGGAACGAGAGCGAGGGGAGCATTGAGAAAATGACATCACAAATCGCTCAACTGACAGCGCCTAGTCGAAACTTGAACGCTCGGTACCTTCCGCGTGTTTACTTGAACATTCTGGATATTTCTTTGCTAATTTAAATATATAGGCGCTGCAAGATGCGATGGGGTTAGTGTTGATTTGGGCGAAACAAGCGAAGCTTCGGAGTGGAATTAAGTGAATTAGTGTGTTTAAATTATTAGTGTTTTAACTTTAATTGTGTAAAGTAAATTAAAGTGTTAATTTAGGTAATTTTATCGGCAATTTTTATTGTCACGAACCTCAAGCTCGTAACAATTGGTGTCAGAAGTGGGATCAAATCATGCCGATTTTACCTAAGGAAGAAACGGGGGTGCGTACATCAACCCAATAACGACACAACAAGACCCCAAAAAAAAAGCTGAAACCCGAATCGACCAAGTAAACAATCGGGTTGACAACGTAATGGCTGAAATGAAGAAATCACTGGACGAACTCAAACTTGGAGATGGAGCTACAGCTCCCGCAGTAGCTACAACACCTTCGCTACGTGGGTTCAAGGTGCCACCGTTCGACGGTACCTCTTCCTGGTCGGCCTACAAAATCCAGTTCGAGGCCGTCATGGAGGCGAACGGCTGGAATAAAAGCCAAGCCATGACTGCACTCACCCTAGGCCTGCACGACCAAGCCTTAACTGTGTTGGAAGCTCTCGGTAAGAAAGTGACCTATGAGCAGCTTCTTGAGGCCTTGGAAGCGAGATATGGCGACGCTCATCTGGAACACGTCTTTCGCGCGCAGCTTAAAGATCGCGTGCAGCGCAGCAACGAGAACCTGCAGCAGTGGGCCCTTGAGGTGGAGAAGATGGTTCGAAAAGCATACCAGTTTGTACCTGCGCTCATTGAAGGGAACCTGGTTCAGACATTCATCGACGGCATCCGCGACCTTGAAGTCAGAGCTGCTGTGAGACTCGGGCACCACGACACGCTTAAGAACGCCTTGGCCCATGCACTGGAGGTGGAAGCCGTGCGGCAGGATCATCGTTCCCATCGCATCAGGGAGGTTGCAGCAGCTACAGTTCGCGACCGCAACAGAGGATACAGCCCTAGGTGCTATGGCTGTGGGGAAAAGGGCCATCTTCGATCCAGCTGCCCTAAGCGAACCCTAGAAAGGGAAGGTGTACGATCTCAGGAGGGTAGTGCGGCCAACAGCACCGCCCAGCAGCAGCAGGAAAACGAGTAAAAGCCAGAACTGCGGGGCGGGTGCTGGCTGATGTTAAAAGAGCCCCAAGGATCTCGATCTCACAAACCCATGATGGGAATAGTCTAATCATCAAGGGCGAGGTCAACGGAATGCCGTGTAAACTGACCATAGACACTGGAGCCTCTCGTACGGTTGTTAGTTCCCAACTTATAAGCCAGTTCCTTGGGGACTCCGCATACAACCGAGAACGCATTAATTTGGTAACAGCCACCGGTCAGCGTATACCCGTCCGTGGAGAGAAGGAGATGGAGTTGAAGCTAGGCAACGTGATCTACCTGCATAATGTCATCGTGGCTGATATAATGGACGACTGCATCCTAGGCCTAGACTTTATGAGGAATAATTGTTGTGAGATCGACGTTAAGCAAGGTGTTTTGAAATGTGGACAGGAGGAACTTTTTATGGAAGGTGCGTTACCAGGGAACGTGTACAGCATCAAGAAGATTGTTCTTCCGCCGAGATCGGAAACGATTGTTCCGGTTAGTCTTCCACGAAACGCTGGGCAAGCTCACCGTTGTGTACTTGTGGAAAGGGTAAACAATGACCTTCCATGGAAAGTAGCTCGAACCTTGGTCAGGACCACTGACATCTCAGGAGTACGTGTGCTGAACCTTTGCGACCGGGAACAGGTTATAGAAAAAGGTACACTGGTTGGTACTTGTGAGGAAGTGGATTGGTTACGTCAGTGCCAATATATATCGAGTGGGACCCCCAGCAAGGATTCAGAAACGAGAGTGACCACACTTTTGGAAGACTGTCGCAGTGTTCTGTCCCCGAACGAATTGGTGAAGGCGAAGAAGTTGTTACTCGAGTACGCCGATGTATTCTCATCAAACGATGCTGACATAGGAAAGACTGGTTTAGTTCAACACAAAATAAACACAGGTGAAGAGTTGCCTATCCGTCAGCGGCCAAGACGATTGCCGGTAGCACGTGAAAAGGAAGTGGAAACCATGATTGAGGGAATGGTGAGGGATGGTGTTAT